CTTAGTCGATGACCCATAGTGAAATTTTATGGAGAATAATTTTCCCATTGACCGCAACCCTCAAAACTGAAGGTTTGGGGGAAATATTGCTTGAAATTGAAAGAAGGTCTGAAATAAATATAAAAAATAATTTATTTTTTATATTCCGAAATCTAAGCTAATTTTTAAGGGGTATATTGTATAGCTAGAGAAATCTTGTGTTCGATGACCTGTAGGGGAATTTTCTGGAGAATAAATTTTCCATTGACTCCAACCCTCAGAAATGATGTTTTATGGGAAATATTGGCCAAAATTGAAAGAAAGACCAAAAAATTAATATGGAAATAATTTCATATTCATATCCCGAAATCTAAGCTAATTTTTAAGTGGTATATAGTATAGCTAGAAAAATCTCTTGATCGATGACCTGTAGTGAAATGTTACGGAGAATATTTTTTCCTTTGACTCCAGCCCTCGAAAATGAAGTCTTGTGGGAAATATTGGGCAAAACTGAAAGCATCCTATCCTTCCTCACTTTCCTCATCAGTATTTCTTTTTCAGCAAAATTAGTCTTGACAATTGCTATTGTAATTTGCCAAAACCAGTACAGTCACGATGCTATGTAACCTGATGCCACCTCCGCCACAGCTATCACACTTAGACAAATCTCCTCCGCCATACATAGTCCTGATTTGCCATTCCTAAAAAAGAGAGCAATCGAAAAATGCTATTATTATTCCGCTGCATTAACAAAATGAACTACAAAATGACATACCAGAATAGTTGGTGGTGGTGGTGGTCCGGAGGCCAACCTCCACACAGTCTGCTCATCAGCACCAGCAGCAGCATCATCATCGTCAGCATTTGTATTCTTCTTCAAACACAAAAATGCAATTGTTGTTCGTTCATTCATTCGTTCGTTCGTTCCTCAATAACAATAATGATAATAAAAAAGAGTTAAATATTTCGCCCTGCAATGCCTCGCACCAAAATTTTTGACATTCTCTGGCGATTTGTAGCTGTTGTTGTTGCTACAGCTTTTCTTTGGCTTAACAAAATTTTTCGAAAAGCACTTGAAACTTTTTTGTTGTTGTGAAGCTGTCGTGAATTGTAAAAATGTGCGGGGGATCTCCGCTCATCGTCGACTTGGTTTCCTTTCCCTCTTTTTTGCAGTTATGGCTGATTGTCTATGGTTTGGCAATTTGCAGTTCGAGTCCGTTTCGCCAGTTGGCATTCATTAAAAGGAATCAAAGATTTTCGTTTCGTTGTCGTCGTCATCGCCGTTGACGGTAATGAAAGAAATTCCAAAAAGGCTTTTTAATGCGACAAAAGGAAGTCCGTTACTGTCATCACTGCTTGAGTTTTTCGTGGGGTTTTTTTTTTCACCGATACCTCGGGTTTTGTGAGGCAATAGAATGGCGACAGGAAGGGAATTTTCAAAAAAAGTCATAGAAACAAATTTGCAACTTCGATAAACATAGAAGTGAGGAGAGTGAGAGAGAAGCTATTGAATGAGGAGCACCGAGAGAGATAGACCGAGGAGTATTAAAGCAAATTTATTTAGTATTTAAATAGGTATTTTAATATTTAGAAGTTCACTTTTGAGGAAGATCCATTCTATTCTATAAGAGGTCCATTCGAATGTCTCATATGCTAAGGGGTATCGATCTGCATGTTTATATTTAGTAGAAGTATCTTCCTGAGGTCTTAAATTCAATAAAATACTCCTACAGAGGTTTCCGATTCTGAAGGAGACACCTCCGGTGGTTTTCGATAGACCTCCAGAGGGCCCTAGATCGACTTCTACAAGTGTTATTTTCTATAGGAGACTCATCCGCACGGTTATATTTAGAAGAAGATGCTTCAGAGGGGTGTAAATTGAAGAAGAAGATCCATTCGAATCTGAAGGAGGTCCCTTTCACGTTATCATATGCTATGGGGTATCGAACTGCAGGTTTATATTTAGTAGAAGTCTCTTCCTGAAGTCTTAAATTCAAAAAAATACTCATACAGAGGCAAACTCTTCTGAAGGAGACCCATCCGAAGGTCTTCGATAGACCCCTAGATGACCCTCGATATATTTCTATAGGTGTTATTTTATATGGGAGACCCATCCGCCCGGTTATATTTAGTAGAAGGTGCATTCTGAGATCTTCTATCTTATGGGTGACCCTTCTAGAGGTCTTAATAAAGTACTCATCCAAATGCCTCCTCTTCTGAAAGAGACCCATCCGAAGGTCACTTATATGTTTTTATAGAACCGAAGTCGTCCTAAAGGACCTTCGATAAATTTCCAGAAGTGGTTCAAAAGAATAGAATACTCATCCAACGACCTTCCAGTCTATAGAAGATCCGTCTAGATTTTCTTTATTCTAGAAGGTGCATTCTGAGATCTTCTATCTTATGGGTGAACCTTCTAGAGGTCTTATATTTCATAAAGTACTCCTCCAAATGCCTCCTCTTCTGAAAGAGACCCATCCGAAGGTCACTTATAAGTTTTTATAGAACCGAAGTCGATAAATTTCCAGAATTGGTTCAAAAGAATAGAATACTCATCCAACGACCTTCCAGTCTATAGAAGACCCGTCTAGATTTTCTTTATTCTATAAGAGGTCCATACGAAGCTATCCTATCCATTTCCAGTTTTGTTTTTAATTGAAATCGCATCCTGAGGTCTTATATTCTAAAGAAGTCTCTTCCAAAGGTCACATATATTTTTCCATATATACAGAAAACATCCGATGACCTCCAGAGGGACCTCGATAGACCTCCACAGATATTATTTTTAAAAAGAGCCATCCGCACGATTATATTCAGTAGAATAAGGAATCTGAGATCTTATATCTTATGGGAGACCTTTCCAGAGTTCTTATATTCTATAAATTACTCCTTCAGAGGTTTCCGATTTTGAAGGAGACGCATCCGGTGGTTACCTATAATTTTTTATACAACCGAAGACAACCGTCGAAGGTCTGAGAAGGCTCTTATACTCTATGGAGAACTTTGTTGAACCTCTTCAATTGTGAAGGAAATTTTTAAGAATCTTTAGAATCCTATTGAAGACCTCCGAGAGCATCTTATATTTCACAGAGCCCCATATTCCATAAGAGGCCCCATATATTCCTTAGTAGGCACCTATCTTATAGGTAACACTTCAGACTCAAGTCATTACCCTTGCTTACCGAAGTCCACTTCTTAGATGCAGTGGCCTCCTATGCCATAAAACACTTCTACGAAGTTCATATGATACATGCGAAGCTTCTCTATTCGATTGGAGAGCTCTACGAAACATTTTGGACCCAACTCATTACCAAAGAAGTGCTTATTGAAGCTCTTCTATAGATGCTGAGGCCTCTTATTTCATCAAACAACCCGACGAAGCGGTTATATTGCATAAAAACCTGTACGAAGCATTTCTATTCTATAGAAGACACATACGAAGTTTTTTCTATTTAATTGGAGAGCTCTATGAAAAATTTGAGACACAAGTCATTACCAAAGAAGTGATTACCGAACCCATTATATAAATTCTGTGGCCTTATATTTCATAAAACATCCGGACGAAGCATAATAACCTCTATGAAGCTGTTCTATTCCATAGTAGGCACATACGAAGCTTTTTATATTCGATTGGAGAGTTCTGTGAAAGATTTTAGACTTAAGACATTACCAAAGAAGTGATTACCGAAGCCCTTCAATAGATGCTGAGGACTCTTATTTTATAAAACATCCCGACGAAAGGGGTTCTTTTGCATAGAAGACACATACGTGGCTTCTATGCAATAGAAGACACATACGTAGCTGTTCTTTTCGATTGAAGAGCTCTAGGAAACATTTTAGACCCAACTCATTACCAAAGAAGTGCTTATAGATGCTAAGGCCTTATATTCATATTTTTTTTATTAATAACTCCGAATAAAGACATTTGGCTATCTTCCCACATTTATTTTTTTCAAAGTTCTTGCCAAAAGATAAGACCGTCATAAAACTGTCAATATCATTGATTCATTATTAGAAGGCTGAGCCAAAACACCATAAACAACCCCCTGACCTGCACCAGAGACTTCCATATTTATGATATCCCAACCACAAATTCTGTGTTAATTCCCAAACAATATTTGCATTTCATACATAATTAATGGCCATAACGGCGGAATGTAGCTGGGCTCTCTACTCCATACAATATTCCCCCGCCTCCTGCTCCTCTTCTTCGTCGTCGTCGTAATCGAAATGAAGTTCAAGTAGACGAAGTATTGGTGTTTAATTGAAGTTTTATCTCACTGAATTTTCGTTTTCTCCATTTAGGCCATAAACCAAAGGTGACTAACACAAATAATAATAATAATAAGCTTAGGGAAATTAGCTAACTACCTCAATGCCGTTCGGCCTGCCCCACCCTCAAATACCTAGCAGATTTTTTACCGAACAACGACGAAATGCTTTATTAATGGCAAATTAAATGTAATAAAAAACAGATGTGCTAACATCGGCATAAAAATTGCCTCCTCCTCCTCCACATTCGGCTGAACTGGCTTCTTCGAACTTCTTGCCGAAAAAAGAAGTTCGCTAAAAAAAGGACAAATGCATTTAGCATTTAATATAACCTGTTACCATCATTTCACCTAGAGCATGGGCAGCAGGTTGTCTTCCGAACAAAATTATAATAATGTCTTTTCAAGAAAAACTTTTTGGTAGTTGTTTTCCTCTTCGTTTCACTTCTGCTTATTGTCCTTGCATTTGCTTTCCAAAAAACGAAATATGACGCCCAGGACAAAATATTATGCAGTTTATCATTTTTATACTGCCATCCATAAGCTACTATAATTTAATACACTAAGTCTGAAATAATGTTTGGCGCACGATGACACCAAATAACAACTTTTTAATGACAATTTGATTTTGCGGAATCAGAGAGCTTTTAAATTCTCCAAAAAATTTACTTTAAAAATCCACGCCGGTTCGCCTTTGACTTCTCTAGAAAATTTACTTTAAAAAATCGCTAAACTTGGAATGACACTTACCGGCAGGTGATACGTGATTTACCATCCATAAATTGACCATTAGCACCCCAACGTCTGGGCATTTCCATAATACAAATACCCTTGGGCCCGGCCAGAGCCAAGAGCGAGCCTTCAATTGAGGCTACTACACGTTCCACTTCAAAGCTGAAGGGTATTGAGGGGACGAGGGTCTGAAAAATAAAATATAAAAAAGTAAATAAAAATCAGTCAAAAGAAAAAAATCTGTGTCAATTTCTTCATATTTTATGTTGGACTTCTACGAAGCTCTCACAATCCATAGAACTCCTCAACGTAGCTGTTGAATTACATAAAACACATTTACGAAGTTCATATATTTCAAAGAAGGCACTAGCGAAACTTTTCTATTTTATAGATAAGCTCTAAGAAACATTTGAGATTCAACTCATTACCAAGGAAGTACTTATGGAAGCCCTTTCATAGATGTAAATACCTCGTAATCCATATAAAACACCTCTACGAAATTCATATATTCCATAAAGGAAATTCCTGAACCGTTTTATTCAGCATAAGATCTCTACGAAATATTTATGACTCAAGTTATTACCAAAGAAGTACTTACGGACTCATTTTTATAGATGTAAAGGCTTCATATTTCCGAATCTTTTCTATAGCTGTAGGGGCCTCCTAATCGATAAAATACGTCTACGAAGTTCATATATTTACTAGAAGTTACATGCGAAACTTTTCTATTCTATAGCAGAACTCTATGAAACACTTGAGACTCACGTCATTACCAAAGAAGGACTTATGGAAGCACTTTAATAGGTGCGAAGCACTCATATACTTCTATACTAATCCATAAAACATCTCTACGAAGCTAATTTATTCCATTGAAGGGATCTGCGAAGAATTTATATTTTATAGCAGAGCTCTATGAATCTTTGTAAGCCCTTTCATAGATGCGAAGGCTTCATATACACCTCTACTAAGCGGTTCTGTTACATAATACACCTCTACGAAGTTCATATATTCCGTAGAGGAGTTCTCTGAACGTTTTTATTAAAGATCTATAAGATCTCTACGAAATATTTTAGACTCAAGTCATTACCATAGCAGTGCTTACTGAAGCTCTTCTAAAGCTGTAGAGGCTCCTAATCCATTAAAACCTCTACAAAGCTGTTTTGTTACATAAAACACCTCTACGCAGCTGTTCTATTCCATGAAGGACACATCCGCAGCTTTTCTATTCTATAGCAGAGCTCTATGAAACATTTTAGACCCATGTTATTTTCAAAGAAGTGCTTTTGGAAGCCCTTCTATGGATGTAGAGATCACTTATTTCATAAAACACCTGTACGAACCTCCATGTACCTTAAAACCACTTCCTGAGCTCTATAATTGCCTTCAAGGTTATGTAATATCTTCAAGGGGTCTGTAATACATTCCAGAAGCTTTTCAAGATATCACAGAAGACCTCTTCTGGCCAATGAAGAGTTTTACTATCCACAGAATATCCCTTTGACTTCTAAAAGTTCTCTTTTGACTTGCAGGCCTTCCGATGACTTCCAGATATTTGTGAGGTATGTAAGACTTTCCAGATGATTTTCAAGATGCCAAAGAAGATCTTTTCTAGTCACATAAGAGCTTTTCTTAGCCACAGAATATTCCTTTTCCCTTCTTTTGACTTACAGGACTTTGATAGGTCTGTAAGACCTTCCAATGCTTCCGCTGATGTTACGGAAGACTTTTTCTGGTCAAGGAAATGTTTACTATCCACAGAATATCCCTTCGTACTTCTAGAACGACTCTTCTGTCTTTTAAGGGCCTGTAATAGATACCATAGGCATGTTAGGCCTTCAGTAGCTACTCAAGATGTGACAGAAGATATTAACTTCCCAAAGATTAGAAGGCTTCTTATGACGTACATGCCTTTCATAGGCTTGTAAGACCTTCTAGAGATTTGTAATACCCACCAAAGGAATGTAAACCCCTGGAAAGATTTTTACGATGCCACAGAAGACCTCTTTTGACAGAAGACCTTCTAGAAGCCTTTTGCCTTACAGTCCTTTCAAAGTTCTGTAAGACCTTCGAGAAATCTGTAAGACTTTCCAGAGGTATGTAGGACTTTCCAGAGGTCTCTGTTCTGATTAACAAGCCTTTGAAAGTTTTGTAATACGTTCCAGAGGTTTCTCAAGATGTCACAAAAGACCTTTTTTGTCCACAAGAGAGGAGTTCTATCCACATACCGAAGGCATATCCTGACCACTTAATAACTCTTCTGGGAACAGAAGAACTCTTCGTATCGTATGAAAGGTCTCCTAAAGCCGCAGACGACTGACATTCTCTGGTCACTAACGCCTTTTTGAGACCATAGAAATTCTCTAAAGGGCACAGAAAGCCTCCCATTAAGGGAACAGACATAAGAGGAACGAAGAGGGTCACTAGAAGACATCCTCAGGCCGCAGAAGGACTCCTTCCAGACAACAGAAGGCCTCTTTGGTTCATAGAAGACATCCTCTGGCCACAGAAGACTTCTTGAGGCCATATAAGGTATTTCTAGGCCGCAGAAGGCTTCTATTTCAGACACCAGAAAGTGTCTTATATTCATAAAAGGCCTTCGCCGGTAACAGAAATCTATTTGAGGCCATAGAAGTTCTCCAAAAGGCACAGAAGGCCTCATAGGGCCACAGAGGACCCCTTTTGGCCACAGAAGGCTTCCTATTCAAGCAACATAAGTCCTTTTTTGTCCACAGAACACATCCTCTGGCCACAGCAGATTTTTTTGTGGTCATAGATGATGTCTCTTTTGTCCATAGAAGATCTCTTAAGGTCACAAATGACCTACTTCCCTTCTAGTGGAAATAGAAGGCCATAGCCACATAAAAGTATTTTGTGCACCCCAAATGATTTCTAATGGCCGATAAGGTATCTTCGATGTTCATTTGGCTTCTTCTTCCGACCATTTTGTGGCCATAGAAGATCTGTTAAGGCCATTGGAGGTACGTTAAGGCCATTGGAGGTATGTTAAGGCCATAGAATACCTTTTTCAGGCAACAGAAGGTCTCATCTGTCCGCAGAAGTCTTCTTCTGCTCAGAAAGCCTAATGTGGTTTATCTGCACCTCAAATGACCTCTATCACCCTGATTAGACCTCTTCGATCTTCTTTCGGTAATCCGAAGAGTATAGTAGATTTTGTAGAACCTTTCTTTAGGTTTTCTGGAAAGATTTTTATTCCGCAGAGAAAACAACCTTCCTACTCCCTTTGCTCTAAATAGGATCTAATCAAACCTCGTAGTTTAAAAAATGATATCCAAATTTTTTTGTTAGGCAATTCTGAGGACGTGTGAGTAATAAAAAAAATATGACCCTGATAACAATTGACAAATAACCTCTTCTCGAAGTATTTCTGAAAAAATATTCCACATAAGATGCCAATCTTATTTGTTTAGAATGTCCACAAATAAAAAAGTCCTTTCACGTAAGGACATTACGATTTACACTTCGTAATAAATGAACGGATAAAGAAGAGAATAAAATAAAAAATTTCGTAATGAACAAGAAGTCTAAGAAGACATAAAAAAATGTTTTGCTGATATGATGACTTCGAAGAGTAAAAGAATTACAAACGATGTATTGTTTCGTTGCGGAATTTCTGAGAAGAGGGGGAGGGAGAGTCCTTTGAATAATACACACATGTGTGAGTATGTTGTGTGGCGGAGGACTTGATAATTAGATGCGAACAAAAGTTTAATATTATTTATAATAATCTTCTGCTACTTCGGCATCGTGGTCTGCTTTAGAAAACGAAGAAGAAGAGGAGGAGGAGGAAAAAAACTTAGATATGAAGAAAACTCGCCACATTATTGTTGAAATACTACGGACACTGATATCGTTCTGAAGGAGGACGAGGACAATGTTTTACAAGTTAAGTAATTGTCATAAAAGTCAACCAAGTATCTCTGCTCATATGGCGGATTCGTGCCTCTATGCATAATAATTAATTCTATGTGAACGCTACTACTTTGGTACGCAGGATATGTGAATGGGGATCATTCATTCCCCCACAAGAGTTTGAGGAGAAGCACCATAGCCACCATCATCAGTGGCAGCAGGAGCAGCAGCGAGAGCAATAAGCAAGGCGTTAAATGTATATTCAGGATAAGGTTACATGACTTTGGCATTATTTCATGCTTATCTTGAGTAATTAAGACGCCTGCTTGTTGTTGTACGAGTTCACAACAACAACAAGAGAAAGTATTTTAATTATAGAAAAATATTTACAATAATATATAACAAAAACAGTTTTTTAGTAGAGGACATAGAAGCGGAGTATGTACTGAGTTGTCAGGATACAGCAAAGAATTTTTGACTATTCAAATTTAAACAAGATAAGCAATCTCTAAAAAAATATATATATTTGAAGCTATAAAGTAGTTCTCTGGAGGTGAAAATCTTGGCTCCAAATAAAATCTCTCCTAACATCTCTTCCAATTTTTAGCTTCGAAAATAATTGTTTTCTAAAAAAAGAATCGGTTCGGTAAGGTATTTCTAGCAAAATAAGGAGTTCGGTAAGGACTTCTTGTTAATAGAATACAGGGAAAAGGTCCTTGTTGATTCGCGGAATAATTTTCCTTTTTACGGTAAACATCTACGAATCTTTTCTGACCTACAAAAATACATTTTCAGATTAAAATAGTTCCGAATAGCAATTTGTCTATGAAAGAAGCGGTTCGGTAAGGTATTTTAAGCAAAATAAGGCGCTCGGTAAGTACTTCTTGTCGATAGAAGACCATCAGTAAGATGAAATAGACTTGCGGAACTTCTACGAAGTTGTTAAGCAAATTTTCAGCTTAGAACAGTTCCGAATAACATTTTTTCTAGGAAAGAAGCAATTCGGTAAGGTATTTAAAGCAAAATAAGGGGTTCAGTAAGTACTTATTTGGAATAAAATACATGCAGAAGCTTCTTGTTGACTAGCGGATCACTTCTCCCTATTCTGATAAACCTCTACAATGTTGTTGTATCCCATAAAAAAACACTTACTACTTAGAACAGCTTTGAATAGAAGGTATTTAAAGGGTTCTGTAAGCACTTCTTGGGAATAGAAGGCCATCAGAAGGATAAAATAGACTTGCGTAACAATTTTTCGCTTTATGATAAACCTCTTCGAAGCCGTTCTACCCTACAAAAATTAATTTTTAGCTTAGAA